TTTGATACCCAAATGGTTCCATGGGACGGTCATATTTGCTGAGAAAAGGCCAGGGGGGTGGTTGATATTAGCGGTGAATGTAGTTATAACATATGCCATATATACTAACATGGAGTCACATGTCGGGATGGTGTTTAGTCCCATCCAGTGAGTGGATGTTCTGGGCACCCCTAACCTCTCAGTTCAGCACCCCTTTGGAACTGCTGCTACATGGAGTGTGTGGATTAATTATGATTAAACAAATTGTTTGGGAAGAAATGGTCGCAGCTTCTGGTCCTCGCTGCGTGAGGAGCTGGTGCACTTTGTGACGAAGAAGAACACCTGCTTGTTATCCTCCTGCGCCGGTGGTGGTTGGTTGGAAGATCAACCAGGCCTTCAACCATGTTGTCCTCGCAGCTTTTAGATGAGTTTTGCAAGAGAACATGAGCAGCAGATTTGGACTTGTTTTGGTTGTGATGCTTGTTGTTTTGTGGTGTTTTCTTTTGTTCATTTGGACATGTTTGTTGTTTTGTTTTGTATGTTTGGGTGCACGAAACCATTTGATTGTTGGAGAGACAGACGCTCGCCCATTTACTTGTGTTCGTGTGTGAAGAGAGTCCCACTACGTTGGGAAAATCGTACATACGGGAACCCATCCTGGAGTCTTGGAATCGATCATTAGGTCAGACAGTGCTTCCCCCCCGAAACGGATGACCAACATCCATTGAATAGTGATGCTACATGACCTTCTCCTACATTAGGGTTATAAAAGGATGGTCTTGGTGATGTTTACTCCCTAGGGCTCCTGGCCCACCTCCTGAGGTTCGGTGGTTGGGGTGGATTTTTGAAGGTCTAACCACCGAACCTGAGGACATGGGACGAACGATCGCCCCGCTCCGCGTCGAGGCATCACCCTGCTCCGCCCGGTTCCCGTGCACCTCGGCCGGTCGCGAAGTCGGAAGAAGTGAGACGCCGCGTCGGAGCCTTGGGACCTCAGGTGATCGCCCAGTGATCCCCTTGAGGCTTGGGGTCGGTTATATATATCGTATATATCCGAGTGTGGTGCCCTTGGCCTATGGACATGAAGGGGTGCCGGACCCAGGAATAGTTAGATATCAATGTCATTGTTAGATATCAATGTCATTGTGCGGAGGTGGTATGCACAAACTTCCGAACCAACACAGTCAGTAGTATGTATCATGAAGTGGACAGGTTTGCCACTGTTTTGCCACAAGGTGAAGGACTATAGAATATGATCGCAGCAGTTGAAGGATCCTGACATTAGAAAAGAGTTGATGGGCAAGTTCTCCTGCCTAGAACCCCAAAAAGGAGAGGAAAAACAATGGGAAAACAGATCCTTCCCTCCTCGACCGCCACGCCAGAACGCCCACCACACCCTTCATCCTTTGCTCCCTTGGGCCGCTGCTGCCGGTGCCAGTCGCCGTCGCCGCCACGATCCGTCTCCGCCGCCTCTGAGGACTCGTTTACACCATCGGGCTGCGGAGGCCAACTTCTGCCGCGCCAGCGGAGGCGTGTCGCTGCTGGCGTTGCGGCACGCGCAGCGAGCGCTGGAGCTGTTGAAGGACGAGAGGCCGCCGGAGAAGACGCCGAGCGAAAGGTGGGAGGAAGGTCTCGGTCGAAAACGAAACCTTTTGGGGGTGGTGAACATGTAGTTAGTTGAGGGGGCAGGTGGTGAGACTGTGGGGGTAAGGATGTGAGAAGCTGGAGCTAAAGTTGCTTGTTGGGAAGCTGAAACTAAGGTGATATAAGTGGTATGGACCAAGAGAGGTAGCCAGTGACCTTATAGTAAGGACCGTAACCTGAGATACCCAACCGGGATAGTCTATAACCCATAATACACTCCATGGGACTGCCATATATGCCCCAGATAAAAACACCACCCCTGGCGCCACCACCACCCCTGGCCGGAACTCTCGGCAGTCCGGACTGGCAGTCCCAGACGTGTCGCGTTTGGGTCCTTCAACCTCTGTTGGGAAAAACAACGAGAAGGAACTCAGAAAGAACAAAGGAAACTAAACCAAACTTACGTTCTTGGGCGATCGCCCAAACGTAAGGTGTCTTTTGGTATGGAAAAGATCCGATGCATCCCCGGGTTTCGCCTTAAAACACGCTCGTCTCCTCCAGTCCTTCCGCTCCGGTCGTCACTGGTCCCAAAACAACGGCCGTCTGGGGGTGATGCCAACATATTCCAACCGTTCAGTGCGACTCTTGAGGCCTGAAGTTCAACTCTTGAGGCCTGAAGAGGAGATCCCAATTCAATTGGGTGGGTTGTATGTATTCATCAAGAGGTCTATGGACCCAAAGAGGCCTATGGACCAGAGACCTCGGATCAGATCCGCCCCCGGCGCTTCAGGTTTCAGGGTGCAGTGATGGTTCGGGCGGGTGGTTTTTGGGGGTAGCTCGAAGCTACTCTATAGTGGAGGCCATCGCTAGGAGGTTGGAGGCCATCGCTACTGGTAGCTCATTTCCTACTAGCCCTAGGGCTCCTGTCCCATGTCCTCAGGTTCGGTGGTTAGACCCCCCAAAATCCACCCCAACCACCGAACCTCAGAGGTGGGCCAGGAGCCCTATAGGGTAGTATCAAGAAGCGACGTTCGGTCGTTCGAACGATGGTCCACCTGTGGGAGCTTTCGTCGGGCCCGGACGAAGACATCTTCGCATGGCCGGTCGTGAGAAGTGACAGATGGCAGGATCATCCGACCCTTTGGGTGTCCAGGCTGGACTACCCTGCACTACTTAAACCTAGAGATCTCCAGCCAGGGCACCCAGAAATTCGGATGGTCCTGGTGGAACTATGAGGATGAGGGAACCCCAACCGACACCACCTTTCAGACACCAAGTGAGGACACAAAGTGCCACCGACAGACGCTCTTGAGTTCTTCTGACACCTAAGGATTTGGTTGGAGAAGCCGGTGGGCTTCGCGTTTCCTCCGGCCAAGCCCATGAGGGAGGAGACACCGTCCAGTTGAGATTCGCGGGATGAAGGCCAACGAGTTGTATAGAGAAGCAGAGTTCCACATCATCAACAGAAAAAGCAAAGGTTCTTCAGACCTCCCTAGCGCTTCCAAGGGGTGCGCTGTTTGGAGACCTGTTTACGTAGTGTGGAGATATCCATTGGTGACCCCGAACGGAAGCAGCTGGTCCAATCTGAAAAGTTTCCGACGCCTCCGCCACACCGAGCGCCCACCATGGGTCACCGGGTCACAGTTGGACCCAGCCCGAGCCCGGGGAAAGCTCGGGCCCGGGCTCATATTGGCATCGCTGAAACCAGGGATGAACTCGCGAGGCGACCAAAAACACCATGCACACCGCAGTCAGAGGTCGTCTGATCAGACGACGTGGAATATGCGTTGGAATATGTTGGGCCATGCTAAACCAAACAGCTGGAATGCTCATGAGAGACCTCTCGCTTTGGTTTCGTCTCAGAGCTTGGGTTGATGTGTGTGGAACGGTATATTACCATGTACCAGCACCGCCCCAAGGGTGGTTACTAGATGGAAAAGACCTCTTTCGGGGGTCTATAACCTAGACATCCATATGTACCACTAAATCTGGTACATGGCTTCATTCGTACTGTTTAAAAATTTTCACGTACATATGGTTTTTTTAACGCACTTTCACGCCAAAAGTGCTGGTGAAAAGCTGTTGTCAGCAATCGATTTTGATGACATGGCTCCACTACCAGGCTTGATATAGCCTTCCCAAGAAAGAAAGCAACATGCCATGAAGAGACTTGTCTTTTGTATTTGTACTCAGCGCAGCCCAGCACGGCTCTGTTTAAACCTTATCTTGAATTTAGCACGTTGTACAAAAACATATGACTACATATATATAGTGTGATAGGGTGTGGTTTCAGGTCAGATATTTATATATTCTCACGTTACCTTACCATGTTTTGGTCAGCCCCTAGGTTTACATGGTGAACCCACCACTGCGGCATGAAAAATTAGATGCATATGGTTTTCTCTGCAGGTCCTATTGCCACACACACACACACACCATCCCAACCAGTTGGACCAACTTTCTCTTGGCTCGGTGCTCGATCCTGGCACTTTGGCCGAGTTCAGCTTGGCCGGGAGTCCCAACAAGAAGCGCCGAAGAGTGTTGATTGCAGCAGTTCTCTTGTGAGTCATTCTCGTGATGCGCATCCATTTTCGCATCGCATCTTCGTCCATCCAAGTAGAGGTGAATGTAGCGTTCAATCTGGATGCTCTGCGCTCATGCACCACATGCCACAATAGGTGGAACTTGGGCCTCAGCCTCCAAAGCCTTTGTCGAGCTTGCAGTGCATTGGAAGCAAGCCTCAAGTAGCTGCGAAGGAACAGGTTCCCAACATGGGTTTTGTGAAGTTCTTCAGCCTCTTTCAGAAACGTTCCAGACTTGTGCAAAACACGCAGGAAACTGTCCGCTGCCCAAAGTGCGCACGCCAACAAGTCATCGCCACAATCTCTCAAAGTGACCTCATGCGCCAACCACTTGACCACAATGAAAGTGTCGAACCCCTTACACTTCAGTTCCGGATAAGATTCTGTCTCCCAGGACAAATTGCTTTTCGTAAGCTTCCGAATTGTCAAGCTGAGCCGGTTGTTGGCGGCAAACGCTCGTAGGCTGCGTGCGGCTGATTCAAGTCGAAGATCCTGGGTGTTGCCAGCCCAAAAGCCTGCTTGAGACGCTAAAGACCGAATGGCCGAGCCAGCCAAGTCACGGCCACAGCCCAAGTGGAAAGCGTGCAACAGATCCACTGACAGCATTTGTAAGTTGAACCCCTCTAAGTCAGCAAGAGAAGGTTTGATACTCCACGGGTCTTGTTGAAAAAGAGTCCCCATCCATGGGCAGCCATCGTTCAGGTTTGTAAAGCTCCAAGAAGGGTCATCACTACCCTTTGTGCAAAGGCACATCCAGCAGATCTGCAGGGTTGAACATAAGCCATGAAACACAGAAAACAAAAAAACATATGACAAACCCAAGGCAGCGATACAATCAATGGCCAACCCCATTTTTCAGCCATTTGCCTCTTCATAGGTTGCATACCGCTGGAAGTTGAAGGTCTGGTAGAGGAATTTCCAATCCCCCGTGACATGCGCAATCCAAAACTTGAGCGTGCAAACCTTACATGCACGCCCATGCACTGCAGCTTGGACCACGAAACCGTTTGTTCAAGAAAGCTAAACACCAAAATCCAAAGTTCAAAGATTTACTAAAAAATCTCTAAAGTGTCAAGGCACGCACTCACCAGTTTCCGGGTCTTGGATTGGCACACCAGTTCGGGACAAAGAGTTGAAGCTGTCCCGAATGGCCGCTGTTGCAGCTTGAAGCGTAAGATTCACACCATGCTCATCAAACACATACCTCAGTGAGGGATCATTTTGTGAACAGGTACAGTCATATTAGATTACTTTTCTATAGCTAATTTTGGCAAATATCATGAAGAGCTTTGACCAACGTCAGAACAGCACATGAAAACAGTACTTGATGGCTCTGAGGTGCATGGCGGCAGGAATGCAGCACATGAGGAAGCGGCTGCAGGCAGAATTGGAAATGCAAGGGCTCAAGGATGGGCAGAAGTGATAGTTCATCCAGGAGCCACCCAGCGCTTGGCCCTCATCTCCTTCAGTGCCCATTGAGCTCATCAAAAAAACAAGTTGCATTCCTTTTCACTCAATGATTCTTTTCTACATATCACTGGGAACCAAAATCAAAAGCATGCTTAAGCACAGGGAAGGGTCCATACAACGTCAAAGGTACACTCATGGCCTCCTGGCCAACCACTGGATGATTAGGATAATCTTTCAGAAGATGTTTCCAATAGTCTTCCATTTTGTCAAGCTGAGTGAGAAATCTAAGGTCTCCATTCTTGATCATAGCAGCTACCTTAACTGTGGAAAAATGGATGCATAAGGCACATATATAGCTCGACACCAATTTGCGACAACCACATAAAAAAAGGTTTTTGAATACTGGCCCAGATTCCAAATCAGCTGGAAGCAGGATTGGCCACGTTTCAATCCCAACAGTGCCAGCGTTTTGGTCAGTGCAAATTGGCAGCTCTATATAGGATATCTTTGCATCATAGCTGAGACCTTCCCGTGCAGCTTTGCGGTGAACATTGAGTTCATGTTGGCCCACCCTTGCATGTGACATCAAAGGAAGATCACATGTTTTTACTGTTCACACAAAGAAGAATATCCAAAAACAAATCCAACCAATTCCCAAGATTAACCAAAGGCTCCGACTGAAGACCTGTGACTCGAAGATCTCCCCAACTGCGCAGGCATGATGGATTGAAGATGCACCAGCGCCAACGCCACGCGCCAGCCTGAGCAGGGCCCATGGGTGAGAAGAGTATAGAAGAGTACAAACTCCTCCAATATAATTATACCAACTTGCAACCCATGAACAACAAAACATACGACTATAAGGATTCCAAGAAACACCTCATCCAGTCTCTGCCGCTTATTGGCCGCATGTGGATCTTCCCAGTCACCTGCGTCGGGAACATCAAACTTAAGCGAACACATCCCTTTTTCAGGCATGAGCCCCCATGTCTTTTTCCACCAAGAATCCAATGCACCTCTTTCGGTGATGTTCAAAAGGTGGGCTTGCGATGGCATCGAATGCTCAATCCCGAATCCATTGATGGAGCACCCCCTCCCACAATTGCATGACATCCATATATGTGACAAACATCTAGTGTTTCCTAGTATATACTCTATTAGATCATTGGGGATGCAAAGTGTTTCCCATATTGCTGCAAAGCAGGCTATGGGGATGCAGCCACTGGATTCAACCCATGCATTCCTATGGGCACTACGCTAGCCCTCCAGAGAAGAAAAGCCATCCTCTCATCCAACAGTCGAGGCCGAGCTAGCCGCCGAATCCTTCTTCTCCTTCTTCCGGACCGAAAGGACAGCTTTTGCTTGGGCCTTGATGACCTTCATGTTGGATACCTTGGATTTGGCACCACTGACAATACTTCCAAATGTTTTGAGCTGTTTTCAAGTGAGGATTTACAAACAAAATATATTGTTTAATACGGTTCTAGGTACATTGTCGGCAATCTCTGCCTGCAAATCCTTCAGCGTCGCCAATGCATCAATCCCCTTGATCCTCAGAATCATTGATCAGGACCCGTGGATATAAAATACCACAGGGGTGTCAAAAGCAAAAAGGTACCAAAGGTAAACACTTAAGTGAAATATAGTTCCAAGGCACTCATCCAAGAACTCTTCATAGCGAGTCTTAAACTTCATCAAAGCACCCCGCAGCTTGTCCGTGGAATCGAGGTCAAAGGCACAGATGTTGCACTGATTGATCTCCTTCTTCAGTTCTTTGCCTGGGACAGTCGATGTTTATATAACATACATTGTCAGAAGAATCCCACAAAAAAAAGATGATAACAAAAGAGAACAAAAGCTTACCCAATATATTGCAACCAGCTGGCACAGAGAAGCTTTCAGCTCAGCTGCACCAGTTGGCTCTGTTGGTGTCACTGGTTTGTTCTGCGACTTTGGCTTCGCCTTTGCTTTGACCTTTGGTAGCGGAGCTCCTGCAGCATATGTATATATATATATCAAGCAATAGCAATTCAACATTGCAATTTAAAAGAACATCTGCCTGGAACTTTTGCCACTTATTCTCCTCCAGTTGAAGCTGAAAGGGATTGCTGGACACGGCCCACCAGATCAACAGGCGCAGCACCACCAGCCGCACCAGCTGCACCGCTCACAGCCGCACCAGAGACCGAAGGCATCAGGTTAGCAGGCGTGCCCAGAACTGCCGCCAAGCCATCAGAAGTCGTTTGCGTATTGATCCTTGTAGAAGCCGTTTGGGTCACACTTTCAGTATTGCTGCGGCGACGCTGGACAATGACCCAGTACTGGTAGCACTCCTGTACCTCAGGGCAATCCGGGTCCGGAGAAGCGCCCCCACGGCTCACAATGCTCCGGATTTTCTCCACAGGCCAGTTGGCCAGCAGCATGTCCCGAATTGACCAGGGCTCTCTGTGGCCTTCAAACCGCTCGCTCTTCTCCTTCTGCAAGACAATCGCAGACTCACAGGCTGCTTTGTTGCCTCCTGAATTCACCCATGCTCGGAGAAGTCGAAGCTTTTCCTGACAAGCCACCAATAGCAAGTGAATCATTTACAGTAGGTGAAAGCAAGAAACAATCACCAATACAAAAAGGAGCTGTCATCAAGCCATGCAAGGAACCTCATTGCTCCCATTGAAGAGAGTAGACATGTGCGGGAATTCTGCTGCAGCAGGCGATTGCATGAACCTGTTCAATCTCATGGCTTCTGTCCTGTGAGTGGATGTATTGATACGCTCTTGTGGCTCTTCCGCAGCCGGAGCCGAAGGTGCTGCAGCCGGAGTTCTTGGGCCCATGGCAATCATTTGTCGGATGTCATCTGGCAGCTGATCAAATCGCATAGGACCTCCAGCTTGCCCTGCATGAGCACCCGCCAATCCAGCAATAGACGAAGATGGAACCACGGGCTGATTGGGCAACAATGGAACTGTTAGCGTAGGCGGCACAGCAGGTGTTGCCACTGGCACAGGCGCAGGAGCTGGTGGACCTGCCGTCGCTACAGGTGCATGGCTGAGCACAGTGGCTGGAAGAGGAGCTGGCAGGCTTGGTAGTGGAGCTGGAGCAGGAGCTGGCAGGCTTGCCGCTTCTGGTGGACTTGGAGCCGGCGCTACAGGGGCTGCTGGACTTGCCACTGGAGCTGGCACCACTGGAGGGGCTGCTGGACACCGGAGCTGCTGGCTCTGGGGCTGGTGGACTTGGCACCGGAGCTGGCGGGGCTGGTGGACTTGCAGGTACTGCACTTATTGCCACTGATTCTGCCAGAGGGGCTGGTGGACTTGGCAGTGGATTTGACACAATTACCATTGGCTCTGGGGCTGGTGGTGGACTTGCCACTGTAGGCACAGGGGCCGGCGCACTTGGCAATGACTCTGCAGGCGCAGGGTCGACTGGTGGACTTGGCACTGGACTTGGCACTGGAGCTGCTGCAGTTGCCACCTCTGTCACAGTGCCCTCAAGCATTTCCACCTCAGCTGGCATAGAACCAGGAGCCAAAGGTTCCACCACCTGTGTTGGCTCCACTTCCATATCATCATTGACATGAGCTCCCAGGACCAAGGTCGGTGACCTGCAAATAATAGATTCAGGCTCCATGGTCTCCTCCAAGCCAAGCTGGTTGTCAGGCGGCGGCAGCGGCGACGCCTCCACCATGACCACATCTGAATCAGGAGCAACTTCCGTCGGCGCTGGTGTTGCAGGCACTACAGCATGGACCAATGCAGCCCCTAGGGATGGTGTGGCACAAGGAACAGCAGGAGGTTCTGGCTGGGGAGGGAGAGCAGCTTGTTCACTAATCATCTTCAAGTCTTTCTTGGCATTCAGGTAATCCCGGGTGCGTTGCGAAGCAGAACTCAGCGCAGCCTTCTTGATCTCATCCTCTGTCATAGCCTCCCCTTCAAGAGCCTCACAGGTTGTGAATCATAGGTTCTCAACTACCATTCCAAGAAACATTTCAACACCTGGCCTTGAGCTCAGCAGCATTGATGTGTGCCCTCCGCTCCAACACCGTAGGACCAGCATCAGCATTATCCACCTCACCAAGTCGGCGCTTCAAGGAATCGATGGTTGCCTGCGCTGCTGATAGGGCCGCTTGCATCTCCAATGATCCAGGAGAAATGGTGGTGACACTGTCACCCAGCCTTGTCTCCAAGACAAAAATATGAGTCGGCGCAAAATTGATAGACAAACTTCAAAAGACATTAAAAACTAGAAAGCTTCTGCAAATATGGCCAAATCACTGCAAAGAAGAGACTTGTGAGAAAGTCTCCCGACGCACATCTGCAGCCTGGGGCGCATGTTGCACCTCAACCATCTCCAGCCCAGCCTGGAGGGTGTTGCAAGACCTCACTTGCACAAGAACAGAATCTTAAGTTCAGATACATATATGGGCTGCATGTAAATAAAGAAAAAAAGGTTACATGGTAAACAAACCTAGACACACTTCAGAGAATTGGGAGTCCAAGTGGATCGTATCAGACCTTCTTGCAGGCCGCCGTGCAGGAGGGCTCAAAGGAACATCAGGCTCCACAGGCTCCTCAGGCTTCGACTGTTTTGCAGTTGGCTCCACCAGATTCTCCACCACGGCCTCCACAGGCTCTCGTCGAACTCGAGGGACGCTAGGCTGCCCAGCAGGCTTCTTCGAAGCCGGTCTCTTTCTGATCTGCGGTGCAGGATCCACTTCTTCATCCTCTTCCTGTGGTTCCTCTTCAGCATCTTCCAGGCCCAGCGAAGAACGCCCCGCTTTGAGAACAGCTCGGGTTTTTTTGGGTTTCCCTTTGGCCTTAGCCTTCGATTTCCCCGCAGGCTTCGATTTTGCTTTTGCTTTCCCGGCAGCTTTTGGTTTTGCTTTCTCCTTCGGTTTCCCCTTCCCCTTCGCCCCCCGGCTTGGTGGTGCCCTGCTCGCCGGCCAGCTGCAGGATATCCTCAGCCGCGCTGCAGGCCGATGGAGGCTCAACCAAGCGATGTCAGTGTGTATGGAGGTCTAAAATAAATAAAAGGGTACCCCCAAAATGATGCAAAGGCACCTCAGGAGGATCTGTGCCTAGCACCAGCTTCATGACCTTCATAGTATCCACTGGTGACAAACCAACACACTTCTGGACCTCGCCAAACTTCTGCCAATCCAGCTCGTCCAAAGGGAATGGAAGCTCCGGAAGAGCCATGGCCAGGTCAAGGGTCCCACCCTAACTTTAGACAGCTCTCGATGGCTAAATATGGCTATATATACATGATCCACTTATATAGACTAGTAGTTCCATCTTATGGAAAGCTCATGACAGCTGCATTTTACACTTTCACGGTTTTCACGGCCGTTTCACGTACATTTGGGCCTTTTTCACGTCGAAATCACGGTTTTTCACGGTGAGATTTTTTTGGATACTTTGAAGGCCAAAACCATAAAATCTCCAGGTGGGCCCAACCTTGCAAGAACTATATGGCTCCATTGAATTCAAGCCACAGCTGGCAAACCAGCGGTAAAGCTTTGGGAGCCATGCCATTTAATTGTAGGCTCTCAACACCTTAGGCGCCCAATCCATTTCCAGGCTTCCGCAAGCC